CCCCCCCCCCCCCCCCCCCCCCGCATTGAGTAGCCCTACCCCCATCCCCCCCCACCCCGGCCCACAGCAAGCAGTTAAATCACGTCTTCTTCTAGGTGTCCCTTGAGGACATTACAGAAGTGTGAGATCGCTTTAGAGAAGCTGAAGAACGACATGGCTGTGGTGAGTGTCTGTCTGTCTGTCTGTCTTTGCGTGGTAAACCGGGCTGCGTATCACGCTGTGGTCCCACCCTATGCTGTCTCTCCTCCCAGCCCACCCCGCCCCCGCCGCCTGTGCCCAGCACCAAGCAGCAGTACCTGTGTCAGCCCCTGCTGGACGCGGTCATGGCCAACATTCGCTCGCCCGTCTTTAACCACTCGCTGTACCGCACCTTTGCCCCGGCCATGATGGCCATCCACGGCCCGCCTATCACGTGAGTAAAATTACACTGAAATGCAAAATGCTGAGATAAGGGGGGGGCCTAACCGCCGGCTCTTGGGCAGGGGCCCCAGCATCGCGGCTCGCAAGCGGAAGCACGAGGAGGACGAGCGGCAGACCATCCCTAACATCCTGCAGGGGGAGGTGGCCCGTCTCAGCACCAAGTTCCTGGTTAACCTGGTGCCGTCTCACTGCAGCAACAGCGGGACAGTGCATCTTATCTGCAAGCTGGGTGTGTCTCTTTCACTCCTACATGTACACTGAGACAAACAGACGCATGGACGGACCCGCATGGATGCACACAGGCAGACAGACGGACATGACCACGCAGACAGACGGACATGACCACGCAGACAGACGGACATGACCACGCAGACCTGACCACGCACACAGGCAGACAGGCTGACATGACCACGCAGACCTGACCACGCAGACTGACCGCATGGTGACCAGCAGCCTTCACTGCTCATACTCCTGTCCCCCACAGATGATAAGAGTCTCCCCAGCGTACCCCCCCTCCAGCTCAGCGTTCCGGCTGACTACCCCGAGCAGAGCCCACAGCTGGCAGACGACGGGCAGCAGTATGGTGAGCGGACAAGGGGGCCGTACCATGGGCGGGGAGGTAGGGCGATGTGTGGCTGTGTGACCTGACGCTCACCGTCTGCCTGCCCAAAACCCTCCCCAGACGCCAACCCCTTCCTGCAGACGGTCCACAGGAACATGACCTCCAAGCTGCTGCAGCTGCCGGACAAGCATTCGCTCACGGCGCTGCTCAACACGTGGGCCCAGAGCGTCAAGCAGGCCTGTCTCTCCCCGGCGTAGCGCCATCCTGCCCCTCAGACCTATGGCCTGCCACCTCTGTTGGCTGCTTTGTGAGCTGTCTGTGCGTTTTATGAAATGGATAGCGACTTAGTGTGAGAGTGTGCCCTGTGACCCTCGGGCAGTAAAAGCCACCCTTAACCGTGTCAGCACGTGCTTCTTCCCCAGTATAGTCATCCTGCTTGGTCCTGGTGGTTTTTTTCTGTTTTAATTACAGCGGAGCTCTTAGTATAGGCTGTTGGCTAAATGGATTGTATTACACTGCATTAAACTGAGTTAGTTTGCTGTAACGCCTTCGCCTTCTTGGTCTGCAAAGCTTATTTGAATGTGAATCGGGACCCTGACTTGTCAGAGTCCTGCGCACAGCATTTAGCTTGTTAGCCTTTCTTAGCATTCTGCCAGTGCTGAGCTCCATAAGGATCTCGCCCGTACTCGCTGTCGTCATGCTTTGGCGTCTGGCGCTTGTGGCGCTGCTTGTCCTTTTCAGCACCCCGTCCTCTGGAGACAGCCCCTCTGCAGGGTCCCGGGGCTCGGCTCCAGGTGCAGGCAGGGTGACGCAGTGCGGGGGAACGGGGAGTGGGGGTTGCCGGGGAGTGGGGGTTGCCTGCAGGGAGGAGGGAGGGACTCGGCCAGACCTGAGAGGAACACGGCTTCAGAGTGGGAAATCTCGGCCAGATTGATTACAGATGGCTTCATTCATCCAGTACTGATTTTGTTTTTGTGTAAATAAAGTGAGAAAATTACAATTTGAAGGGCTTCTCATTTTAAATATCAAACCTACATTTTTATTATTACTAAAACTGCACACACAGCTTGTCATGTTGACCTGTTTTAATGATTCACCCAGTGACCCTGAGGGCTAGTTAAGCTCCTGTGCTCAGTCGTCAGGGTCAATGACTTCTGTTCTGCCACGTTACATCAGATCAAGGCTGGTGTTGACAGAGACGGCAGATGGGTGTTTGTTCCTATCCAGTGCCACCCTACCTATCTGCATGAATCCCAGTGTGTCTGAATTCAGCCCTACAGGTCAAAGGTCATGTGCCATGCTGGGTCCAATTGGACGGCGTCGAGTTCGCTTCTGCGCAGGCATAGGCCACAGCGGGATGCTGAGGCAACAGACCATGCCTCAGACATGTGACATCTAGCAGACCCTTCAATCCAAAGTGTCATGCAAGTGAGGAAAGCTTGGTCAGAGCACAGGTCAGCCAGCGTCCAGAGCAGGTGGGGTTAAGGGTCTTGTTGAAGGGCCAAACAGTGGTGTGATGGCTCTGCTCCTCGTGGGATTCAACCCCATGACCTTCAGGACCCAAGCAGACATCTCTAAGCCACTGGCACGATTAGGCTGACTCAGAAAGTGAGACTTGCATTCTAAGTGGCTCAGGTCTGCTTGGGATTCTGGGAAATCTCACTGCATCTTCAGCTCTGATGAAACCGAGAAAAGGGCCATGGACTCACTCTGTGTCTATATACAGACAATGATTGGCCAGCTGTTTAGCACACCTGTTCTAATTTGTTTGGGAGGGTGCCCCCTGGTGGCAGGCAGAGGGTGGTGTGGCAGTCACCTGAGGGTGCTTATATGGACTGAGGAGCTGCTGGGGGCCAGGAAAGAGAGTGATACTGCCATCTAAAGCTTATAGTCGCAGTAAGGCTCCTACCTCCACAGGGATGGGGCAGCCTGGGGGGGGGGCATTCATCTATATGGAGTTCTTGCTAAACTACTGAACTTTCAATGTATTTGTTTATCCGGCAGTCTGCGGGCACATGGTCGCCTTTGGAGCTGTCCAGCTTAAAATTTTCAGTATTACTTTTTGTTTATAATAGAGATTACATTTTTTATGAGTTCTTGTCAGCCGGTCAGTTGTAAGGTAATCTCACTAATCTCCAAAAATCTGTAAATTTTATTGTAACAAAATCTAAATTCTGGTTAAATTTGGGGTGTCCGTTGTATTTAAAAAAACACCACGGCTTCAACACAGGTTAAGTACGGATGTTGGCGCACACAGAGGAGGGAGGAAGACAGACAGACGGACCTCCCATGCAGCAACTGCGGTCCCTCTGCAGCATGTCCATGCCTAAACGCTGCTGTTACCTGCTCTGGGAATGCGGCTGTCAGACATACTGTCAGGAGAGACCCCCCACTGGGTATTGATCTACCGTTCCAACCCAATTTGCCAGTTGCCTTGTTAATAGATAATTTTCCTGATTAGTTAGTATGCAGGTTCCACTTGGTTTGTTTGTGTTGTCATGACAGCCATGTTGAAACTATGCTTGCAAAATGTACCGGGGATTGTGCTTATACTCATTAAAACTGACCAGGAAAGGGCATAGTAGTCGCTTAATTGACCAGGTCTCTGATCATTGGGTGAGGCTTCACAGCAGTAACCTAAACCCTAATTTTACCAAACAAAAACTGCAGATAGGTTTTTTTAAAAATGAATTTTAAATTTACTCAAACCTTTTCAGGTCCTTGCAGCTCAAGGGAGCCACATCCAAATCTGACACCACCTTAAGGGTGGAGCTGAAAAGGCCAGAGCCTGCGGGTCCCAGCCTGCACCCCGACTGGTCAGGGGCTGGGGCGGACCTGGGCATGCTTTGGAGGGATCGCAGTACCCAACCGCTTCCTGGAATGAGCTGGAGTCTGTGGCTGGATCCTCACTGAGACAAGCAAAGCTTGTTTATGGGAGAAGACGGATGGATTTAGCCAAATTATGAACAAGGATATACATCAGGGAAAATAAGTATTGAACTAGTCAACATTCTTCTCTCTCAGTAAATATTTTTCTAATGGGGCTATCGACATGAAGTTTACACCAGTGGCCTGAACTGCGAAGCGGGGTTACTGGCTTATCGGGGTAACTTGTCGGATTTAAGGTACCACAGTTTAAATGGACTTCATATTTGTTCACTTACATTTTGCCCAGACTACCTTAAATCCAACAAGTTACCCCGATAAGCCAGTAACCCCGCTTTGTAGTACAGGCCACAGATGTCAGTAACAACCCAAGTAATTCACACATACAAAGAAATTTAAACAAATAAATCCATAAATTATGTGTAATGAAGTGAAATGACAAATGGAATAAGTACTGAACACGCTTACCAAAATTTAATACATAGTAAAAAATGTATTAATTGGTAATGACAGCTTCAGGACGCCTCCGGTATGGAGAAACTAGTCGCATGCATTGCTCAAGTGTTATTTTGGCTCATTCTTCCACACGAACTGTCATGAAGGTTCTGGGGGCCTGTCCTATGCACTCTGATCTTTCCATAGATTTTCGATTGGATTCAAGTCGGGTGACTGAATGATCCATTCTAGCAGCTTTATTTTTTTCCTCTGAAACCAGCTGAGAGTTTCCTTCGCGGTATATTTGTGGGATCATTGTCTTGCTGAAATGTCCACCCTTGTTTAATCTTGAGCACCCTGGTAGATGACAGCAGATTCTTATCAAAATGTCTCGGTACATTTCTCCATTCTTCCTTTCTTCAATTATACGAAGTCTGTTTTTCAGCATATGGTGCTGGCAATCAGGTTGCGAAGGTCTTAAGTGAGCTCCTCGCGTTTGCCCATCATGAGATGCTTCTTGTGTGACGCCTTGGTAATGAGAAACCTTTATATAGGCCATCAATTAGGACTAAGCCAGCTGATATTAATTTGCACCGATTGCTTTCTAAATGCAGACAGATTTCTGATGGTTTCCGGGATTTCCTTGCCTTTTTGCTCCTCCTTTTCTTCATGTGTTTAATACTTATTCAGTCATTTCACTTTATTACACAATTTGTGGACTTACGCATTATGATTTCTTTGCACGTCTGGATTACTTGGGTTGTTACAGACATCAGATATAAATTTCATGTCAATGGCCCCATTAGAAATATATTTACTGCGAAAAATGTTGACAAATTCAATACTTATTTTCCCCGCTGTAACATGCAGAATATCACATGAACAAAGTTACATGTTTTATAAAGAAGGGTTCATCAGTTTGCACTTTCACCAATTTATTTAAAACAGATCTCACACACCATTCAGCCAGAGATTCTGGGATTTATTTACAGGGTAAGGTAAAGGAAACGTTAAAAGCAAATACCGGCGGTACGACAGAAACCAACGCCTCAGTGCATCTTCAGCTTGTCACTGAACACGCTCATGAAGAGTCCATACACTGCGGCGGCCACCAGGAGGAGCCCCGTGCTGGACAGTGGGCCAAACGAGAACAGCGCCCCCAGCAGGTAGAGCAGGGTGATACTCAGCAGGGTGCGATAACTGGCCAGCGTCCGCAGGCTGAGGCGCGGTCGTCGAGGGACGAGGACCGCTCGGGCCGCGGCTGGGCTGTTACGGCGTCTCTCAGCGGCGCCGGCCGGGCAGCTCAGGTAGAACCTCCCCATGCGGCCCAGAAGGTCGGTCCGGGAGCACAGGACTTCCATCTGGACGGCATACTGCCAAAGGGAGCCCTGGGTCAGACCCCCCACTGGCTGGGGACCCCCCCCCCATAGACACTTACCCGCTCATTGAGGAAGGTGGTAATCCGGTAGAGGAGGCGCACCAGCAAGGCGTTCTCGTAGCTGCGGATGGGCTGCAGCTCAGGGTCGCCTTGGTACTGGATGTCAAAGCGCCGCAGTCCGTTGATGATCTGCATCATTTAATTCAGACCCTGAGCTGGTCGCCGTGGTAGCAGGCCCAGACAGTGCTCATGCTAGATTAACATCCCACCTTTTTTATAATGGTGAGTGAAAAGAAACGTGAGCCATCGCCGGCCGCCCTACCTGCATGCGGCCGAGGTCAGTCAGTACCAGCCCGTTCTCCCCCCGAATGCAGTCGGGCAGCTGCCTGGATCCGAGGTCATCCGGGACCTGGGCCAGGTTTGTCACCAGCTGGGTCACCTGTGCGGTATTCAGCTGGGAGGAAAGAGGACGAAAGCCAGTGAAGCATGTCTGATGGCCCCCCCCACCCCTCCGGAGGGCGTCACCTCCCACCTACCCGGAATATCTGACACAGGTAGTCCAGGGCCCGGTCCAGGAACTCGTGGGTCTTGCGGACACACTCGCCCGCATCGTCTGCCTCGCCCGCTGTGTACGTGCTGTTCAGGTCCGATGAGCCCATGCTGAACCAGGACAGGAAGGACTGGTTGGCGGCAGCTTCGGCGGAGTGGTCTGAGATGCGCTTGGCGGTCTGACGGGCCTGGGCAATGATCTGGACCAGTTTCAGCACCTGGGAGGGGTTTTAAACAGCATGCAAATAAAAATCAGTCTTTTGCCATTTGCACAAATACGAGTACTGGTACATTGGGATTCTTCTCTGCCTGCCCCATCTTGCTCTCCGTAGCTTGGGGGTCACAGCATAGGTTCAGCCATCGTGTGCCCCTCCCCGTTGCTGAAGGGCCCACGGACATGTGACTGTTTTGGTGAGGATGGGGCTCCAACCGGTGATCTGATCATGAGCAGAGGCTTCAACCACCGAGCCACTCACTCCCCAAAACTGAAGGAGGTAATTCCTCACTCATGCTTCACATAACAAGGATGAAAATGCTTTGGGAACGACCGGCAGGAATGAACGCCCCCCCCACCCCGCCTAAAAGTGCCCCCTACCCTACCGACCCCACGACAGGCTTACTGTGCTCCGCAACTCGCTGCCGAACATCTGCTTGTACTGACAGTCCTGCCCCTCCAGGCTGTAGACATGGTTCTTGACCTTGAAGATGGCGTCTGCCTCTGGAGGCTGGCGAGCAGACAGGAAGCTGCCCCCCCGGGA